AGCATCTCTCCCAGATGTCCCCCTGATTCCCCACCTGCGCAGCGTCGTGAGGACAGTCGTGTAGTCGCGCGCAGAGAGCTGGCTGGGCCGCGCCGCGCCGAGGGCCAGCCCAATCTCGGACGAGGAGGCGCCGTCCGGCAGCGAGCGCAGCTTGTGCAGCACTCGCCCCACCGCCGCCCGGCCAGGCTTGGCTCGCCCGCGCCCGGCCGAGGAGCGCTTGCCGCTGCGGCCGCCCTTTGAGCCGCCGCCGCCGCGGCTTCCGTCGCCGCCATCGTCGCCGCCTCGGGCAGCGTTCGTGGCGCCTTCGATCGGCGGCGCTGGTCTGCGATCGAGCATTCTATCACCGCAAGACCAGCGGCCCGTGTTCTGCGAATAGTCGCCGCTGCGGCTGCTGCGGAAGTCGCAAACGGGCGACGACATGACCGTGGCGCGACGCACGAAGGGCGTGCACCAGGTGAGCGTCGAAACTAGGACAGGGACCGATGCCATCGAGGCGAGACAGGCGGCAACACGCGGCCCGCGCCGAACGCCAAGAAAAAGAATTTAAACAAGCAAAAGAAGCTGCCACCGGGGCAGTGTGGTTTCATTAGCTCCGAGTAGAGGGGGCGTCCTGCAGTTAAGGGGAAACCCGGTACGCGGGGCCAACCCTCGGAGACCCGTGTTTACTTTAAGGCCCTTGCCCTGCGAACGCGCACCCCCCAGGGCTAGGGCTCTCTTGCCCGCAACCCGATGCCAATCATCCGGCTCGCTGGGTGCGCTTCTTAGCTCCCCGGCCCTGGATGTGCGGTTGATGACTGCACTCCAAGTGCTCCAAGTTACAACTGAACTCCCTCGCACAACACTGGGCACGGGACTGGCGCGCACTGGCACTAACACAGGTACACCACGGGAGCCGCCTAAGCGACTCCTGCGAGGGTGGCGAGGCACTTAACTCCGTGCACCCGCCCACCCCCGCCACAGGCAAGCTCATTCACGACCTGCTCTGCGATGGCCGTGTGAAGAACGACTGAGATGCGCTGCTTCTGCAGCCCCCAGCCAGCTCTTGGTGGTCCAAGTCACCTCATCGAGGTACTGGGCCCGCGTCAGCTTGTTCTGTAGCACGTCCGCCGCTCTCCGGAGGATCTCACGGACCCCCTTTCCGAACCCGCCGAACGATTCGAACAGCAGCAGCTGCACTTCGACGCCCTGGTACGAGAGCGGACCCGCCGGCGAACCGGAAAAAGCCGAGGCCGGAGGGCCCCGGGGGGGGCTTGGGGTCAGCTGTCGGAGGAGGCGAGAGATGAGCTGACGCGGCCTCTGCGAGTAGAGTCGGGACGTACGGACGAGCCGAGGACGATAGAGAGACCGCAGGGGCGGGCGCGAGTCCTCGACCGAAGAGAGCTGGCCCCACTTCCCGGGGAGGGGCGGCGTGGCGACCCAATGCCGCTGCCCTCGCCCGAGGAGTCGGGCATGGAATCACCGTCGGTGATGGCGACAGAATCGGACAGAGAAGACGAGACGGTGGCGGGGCCGCGGCTGAAAAAGGCTAGGAGGGGAAGTCGGGCCCCGCGCCCGTCGGATGATCATCGGAAAGCGAACAAGAGGAAGAACTCAGAGGAGAGGGGAGCCTCCTCCGGAGTGAGGATGAGGACCTCGTACGAAGGGGTCCTGAGCGGTGACGTCGTGTGAGAGTGCGTGTCGTGTTCATTATAGCTCCGAGTAGAGGGGGCGGTCTGCTGCTAGGGGAAACCCGGAGCGCGGAGCCAACCCTCGGAGACCCGTGTTTACTTTACAGCCCTTGCCCTGCGAACGCGCACCCCCGGGGCTAGGGCTCTCTTGCCCGCAACCCGATACCGATCATCCGGCCCGCTGGGTGCGCTTCTGAGCTCCTCGGCCCTGGATGTGAGGTTACTGACTGCACTCCAAGTGCTCCAAGGCCGGTGATATGTTCAACCCCTTCGCCGTGAAGCGAACCAAATAAGAATTTACGAGACCAGGGTCGCACGACACGACGGCGGCTGGTCGCGAAACCCGGTAACGCGTGAGGTAAAAACTACGCCGAGACCAGTGCCGGTATCGGGCTCTGAGCCCTGCCATCCCTCTGATTATGAGCATGGACGGAGGTATTAGAACCAGAGGGGAGGCGGCGGGCGGGCGGACGCATGGTCGGAGTACAACATCGACGCTCGGCGCGATTCGATGATGATACAGCCACTAGTGTCGATCGTGTGGTATTGGTGCAAGTCACGAGAAACCGCAGTTTTGCCAAACCCGCAGCGGCCCGGGGGGCCTGGGGGGCAGCCTGCCGGACCGCTGTTGCACAGGGCGGCGCACCAGAAGATGAGAGTAGTTGATGGATTGGGCTGCCGACCGCGCCTCCCCTCTATGCGTCAGAGTGGGACCTACGCCGCGCCGGGTAGGGGGCGCGCCCGGTCCTTGACGGAGCCGCGCGCCCCGAGCGACCCAGGCGGCGAGTAGTCGCTCTCGAGCCTCCGGCATGTAGTAGTCCGTGGTTAGCGCCCGCCCCCCCCCCTCTCGCCCCTACCCGAACTGCTCCGGAGCGCGGAGGCGCCCGCGGCATCCTCCATCCCGCCGCCCATCTTCGGGTGCGCGCTGTTGTCGAAGATGGCAAAGTTGCGCCTTGCAATGATGGTCGAGTGCACTTGCAGGAAGCGCTTGCGCTCACCGCTGACCCGCCATCGCTCGCTGTCGGACACACACACACTCACACACACACGAGGATGCCAGGGCCAGAGTTTTCTTCTTTCAGCCCAGATGGCCGGCTCAAACCTGGACCACTCGCTGCAAGAAATCGTGCGCGCCGACGCCCTCGCCGGTCGGCGACCTCGCCTCTACCCCTGCCGCCCACCCGCCGCCGCAGATCAACGACGACAAGCCGACGCGGGCCAGGGCCACCAACGGTCGTGCCAAGTCAAAGGCGTGCAACAACTGCGGCGTGATTGGCCACCTGGCCGGCGCGTGCCCGGACCCGGCGCAGTGCCACGCGTGCGGCTCGACGGCGCACGTCGTCGCCGACTGCCCGCACACCGACGAGACTTGCGACATCTGCGGTCGCGTCGGGCATCTCGCCGTCAAGTGCAGGCGCGATGACCCGCGATGACCCGCGATGACCCGAGATCACCCGAGACAGTTGCGGGCGGGTCGGGCATCTCGCCGTGAAGGTGCAGGCGCGCGGCACGGCGAGATTACCCGAGATTACCCGAGATTGCCCGAGATTGCCCGAGACTAGCCGAGGCTAGCCGAGGCTAGCCGAGGCTAGCCGAGACCAGCCGAGACCAAGCCGCTATCCCGTGAGAACGTGCAGGCGCGCGGCACGGCAAGAGTAGCCCGCCGGCTCCGGGGCTTGGCTTCGCTCGGGGCGCGGGGGGCCGAGCGCCTGGTGGCGACGAGCCTTTGCTGGGCCTCCGCCTGTGATGTGCTGGTGATGTGAGGGCAACGACACTGCGCGCGCGGCCGGTGCTCACTTCTCGAGGCATGTTTTTCGTGTCGGCACGTTCGTGTCGGCGCTGTGGACGACCAGGGCGCGCGGGATGTGGGATTTGAGCCAGGGGGCTCGAGCGCGAAGCGGAGCGGGAGGTGGCTGGAGGGACTGGCGCACACGGGCTGGTAGCGCGGCGCGGTTAGCACGGGGCGACGCCACGTACGATAAATAAATAAATAAAAACGGACACCTCTCTACTGTGAGATGGGTAAATAGGAACAGGTCCCCGCCCTTGCGATCTTTGTGCAGGGTTCTTTGTGGGTGTGGTCGGCCGACAGAGCGAGAGCCGGGGTCGCCACGTAAAATCTAAACTTACCCGATATATTCCAGCAGAGACATACACTCTCTCTACGCTCTCTCTACACACGCCTCACGCGCCGAGCAGCGCGAGCTGGCGCCGAGGAGCGCGCCGAGCGTACCGGACGTGCTAAGGTAAGGTAAGGTAAGCGCGGCGGACGTGCTCAAGGCGCTACGATGGACGCCGCCGAAGTCAAGGAGGCGGACACTCGCCCACACCGCAGAATGCGAAGCCCAGGCGCTCGCTGTACGCGCCATTGCTGGGGCGACGAAGAGATGCGCGGGGAGAAGGGAGAGCGACGAGGAATGGGAGGCGATGGAGCAACTGCTAGCTGGACGACTACCCGAGCCGAGTGTGATGGACCAGGACCCGCCAGAAGACATCATGAGGGAGTATGACACACGGGTGGTGACTTCACTCAAGGCACTGCAGCAGACGGCGGCATCAATAATCAAAGTACGGGAAGGGAAGAGGAAGGGACTCGAGGCGGAGAGGAAGGAACGAGTAGCCGCGGAAACAGAACGCCTGAGAGAGGGACAGAAGGAAAGGAAGGAGAGGATACGAGAAATGGAGTGGGCGGCGAATGCGTGTATTTGCTGGCGACGGAGGCGACATCGACAACGTGATGCCGAGGAGAAGGAAAGGGAAGAGGCAGAGAGACGCCTCGAAGCGGGGAGAGGCAGAACGACGAGAGCGATGGGGATGACACTCAAAACGACCCACTGCGAGCTCGAAGGCGAAGGCCAGCGCAGGAAACGCGGTGATAGGAACGACGGTGCGGCGAGCGCCGGAGGGAAGCGACGACAGCGAGGGGACGAGGACGGCGAGCAGAGAGGAGAACAGACGGCGAGCGGCGCACGCGGGGGCGACCACGCAGGAGAAAACAGACGGGACGAGGGGAAGGAAACGCGGCCCGCCAGGAAGCGAAGGCAGACGGCAAGATACGTCGCCGGACCAGCGACAGGAAGCGCAGGAAAACAAAAAGAACAAGACCAGGAGCATGGAGACGAGGGAAGGCGCGAGGCGCTCCGCCGACAAGCAGCAGAGGCGGCGGCGAAAGTAACGACGGCCATGCTAACGACGGGCGGCACGGTGGAAGGGGCGAAGGTAGGCCCCTCTAGCATAGCGGAAGGGGAACTCGGCCTACTGGCGACGAGGAGGCTAGAGAAATTTGAGGTGTGTAGCATCTACACTGGGGAGATCTTCCGGACAGGAACGGCGCAGCCACCAGAGACAGTACCAGACGAACTATCACGACACACGGCAGCAGGGGGGACGCAGCTGGATGGAAGTGACGACGAGGGCGGGGACGACTTTGACAGCGTCGCGGCGCGGTGTAACTTCGACTGGCCTGCAGCATCGAATGAGCCGAAACGAGGCACGAGGGCGACGCACTTCGTACGCTACGAGGAGATACAATTAGGCAAGGCAGCTGCGCAGGTGATGGTCCTGTTTGCAGAGAGGGGAGTCAAGGAAGGCCAAGAAATCACATGGTCATATGGGGACTCATACAGGAGCCACCGCAAGGAGATGGGATACAGGGCGGGGACCAGGGCGGATCCGAACGCAATAACACCCCAGCAAGCGCGGACGGCATTCGCGAGATACTGCAAAAAGATAGACGTGACGAAGGAGGAGCTAGCGTGGAACTTTGGATGCATATCGGCAAGCCAAAATAACGCGGCAGGTCGGCTCCCACGGAGGCTGCAGCCAATAGGTCCTCTGTGCCGCCTCTCCCGGCAGCCCCTGCAGAGGTAATCGAGGCGGCGCTGCCGACAGCACCGGCAGCGCCTTAGGAGTCGCTTGATGAGGCGACGCGTGTAAAGAGCGGGGGGGGTAATGCATGCATACATTAACCCTAAACGGCTACCTGAAAACAGGGTTCAGCTTCAGGGGCCGATATCACGGCGGCCTGGCTACACCTCGGATGTGCGACGGTGGCATAGTGTGAATGGTATACCATCGCCCAACTGCAAAACCATATTCCCGGGTCGCGGAACATGTCCGGTTTGGGTACCGGCGGATGCGCCGCGTCCTGTGGGATGTGCGCCGAGCTCGAGTCCCATTACCTTGAGACTCTGCTCTCCGACAAGGACGAACTCTGAGAGAGATCAGTTCAGTTGCACCCCTCTTGACTCGCTGACTTGCACCCCATTCGAAAGAAGCCGAAACGGGATGCTGGTTTCGATGACATTCTTCCTTGCCGCAACCACGCGGATCGTTCTCAGTTATGTGGGCATGGAGGGGAGCAGCAGCTGCTAGTGGCGGAGGCGCGGAGAGGGGGTACATGCGTCTTCTTGAGGGTTGGCCTGTGTTAGCACCAGCCACAGCACGCGCCAAGCCATCCCTTAAACGAGTGGCCCACCGTTCACATTCACGCCCCCGGCCGCACCGTCGCGCGTGGCGCCACCGCGCATGAAGAAGGCCGAAGGCGCGCGGCAGCCGCAGCACATACCATTGCCCCCGCCCTGCTGCGGCGGACTCTGATTGTGCACGCCCCTCACTCGTCTGTGTCGACGGCGCGTCCTCCGCGGCGCACGGCAAAGCAAAGCCGGCGACGGGCCAGCAGCAGCCAAACGACGCCGGCGACGAGCAGCAAATGGACGGGCTCGACCTCGACGGCCGCAACGAAGCCGCGGCGTGCAAGCTGCACGGGCAGCGCCGAGCGGGCCTCCCGGCTGGCGGCAACGGCTTGCTGCTGCCGCCGCTGCACCAACAAGCCCGAAAGGTTCGCCCGAAGGTCACGCTGGTCGGCGCCGTGCCCTTGTCTGCAGAATTCCCTCACACACGCCTGAAGCGGCAGCCGCGGGCCTCTTGGCACGAGCAGGCGGAGAGGGACGCCCTCTCCCCTGCAGCCCCGTTCCCTGGTTCCCTCCCAAACAGTGCCCAAGCAACGAGCGCGGTGAAGGAGCGCGCGCACACGGAAAGAGTCGGAGAGGGCACACCGCACCTTGGCGCGCGCCGCGGTGAAGGAGCAGCCGGCGAAGTGGATGAAGGAGGGGTCCACGCCGGCCAGCGCGGGAGGGGCAGCGCGGAGGTGCGGGCCTGTGGGGCACGCGCCATGGACGTGCCGTGGACAATGTGTCATGGAGGGGATGGAGCAGCACCGGGCGGCGGAAGGTGCGCGCACCGAATGATTGCTGCAGCCAGCCTATGGGATGCGCTGTGGACGTGTCGTGTTCGCGTGTCTGGTGGAGATGGCCGCGAGAGACCCCGGGCCGCTAGCCGACGAGGCGGACACGCTCTGCCCGCTGCAGCAAGTGGTGGGTCAGCGGGCCTTGGTCGCGGGCCTCGCCTAGTATGCGGCCCAATCCGGCATCGTCAACACCGCCCGGTTGTACTGGACAATACCCGCACCGGCAAATGCGATGCATGAGGCAGCAACTAGTAGCGGCCGGGCGATCCAGCTCCTGTTGTAGCGTTCTCACACACCACCGCTCGCTGGGCCTCGCGGGGCAGAGTAGAGGGGCTCGCCGTTGTAGAAGCCGCCCAGCTGGCCGCGGGTCGCGTGGCGGTACCTAAGCAACAATGGAGGGTGAGCGAGCGTGACTGGCGTAATGTGGTGGCACGCCCGTCACACACACACTCACACACTCTCACTCACACACACTCACACACACTCACGCACACACACACACACACACACACACACACACACACACACACACACACACACACACACACACACACACGCAGAGAGAGAGAGAGAGAGAGAGATGCGTCGCGGCACCGCAGCGCGTCGGTTGCCGTTGAGGAGTGGGCACCCCGCACGAGGAGCACGCCCGCCTGAATGCAGAGCCGCCGGGCGGAGAACTCGAAGCTTAGTTATCCAGGCCTCAACACTCGTTGGCTTGCGCAGCGCGCGGGTGTCTACTGTCCGTATGCTGTGCGAGCATACGCACGGCGTCGTGTGGGCGCGACGCAAGGGATATGCACGTTCACGTAACAAGCAAAGGGCGTCCCCGGCGTCGCCACGCCTGCAGCGCGTGGGGCCCGATGAGCCAGACGAGGTGGCGGAGGCTTGCGAGCGAGACGCCCTCGAGCGAGTGCCAGTAGTAGTCGGGCGTCACCTTGACGAGCTCTTCGCCGGGCTGCATCCAGAGGTCGACCCCCGGCTGCAGGGCAGCGATCCGCCTGGCGCGCTCCACCACTGAGACTCCGGATGCGTCGATCGGCACAGTGTCGGCGTCGTGCCACAACAGGAGGCCGTCAGCGCCCCCCGGCCATCGCTGCGCGACGTGGCGGACGGCGCCGAGCTTCTTCCAGCTCCCGTTGAATGCGGAGAGGAGCGATGGCTCTGTGCCGATGTCGAAGGAGGACACACCGTGTGAGGAGCTAGCCACCAGACGCTCAACCGCCGTTTGACGTGCGCTCTCGATGCAGTCGTCAAAATCTCTCGCGTGGGAGTCTGCCGGGTTGCGATCTCTTCCAGACAAGAACACCAGTTTAGAGGCTCCACCCATCGATCGGAGGTTGTCGTCCCGCTATGGATGTGTACGTACTTTTAGCTTACTGGGAGAAAAGAGAGAGGGGGTTGTGTTCTCTAGGCCCCTAAGGGCCCTACGCGCGGCGTGAGAGCTCGGAAGCGAGCTTTGCACGGCGATCGAGGAGGGCACGGTTCACCCCCTTCACCGAAGCGATGGAGATGCGTTCCGCGTGGTGTGACACAAATGAGAGGCGGGAGTGGGGAGGGTACGTCTCTCTCTCTCTCTCTCTACGAGCTCGGCTGGTCTGTTCGATATCGTCGTTTGACGTTGAGAATCTGGACGCTGTTCACACAAAAACACAACACCGGACCCAAGACGCACAAGCACAGACAGTCGAGAACGAGATAGACAGCAACGACAGTCAGAAGTCAGCGCGGGGTCCCAGGGCGAGGTTCCCGTGCCTCGACAATTGCCGCTGGTAGGCGCGCCGCGCCAAGCCATGGCGGGCGCGCCGCGGCCGCGCGCACCCTTCGTCACAATGCCAACCGCGCGCGGCCGTCGACCGGTAAGCACACGCCTCGACTCGGACACAGTGTTCCGAGGGCAAGGGAGAGGGGCTGGCTCCTAGCTCGAGAGGACAGCTTCCGAGACCCAATACGTGACCACGCACACATCATCCCGCGGCCTCGCGGTCGGCGGGATTGCAACCAGTCTTCGCGTGCCGCCTGTCGTTCGACTCGGGCGCCTTGGGCGTCGGGGTGGCGAGCAGGGGACGCGGCTTTGAGTGCCCAGCGACGCGTGCCGGATGGAGTCCGGCCGCGGGTGACTAGGGGAGTTCGCTCAGGATGTGTGGCAGCCACGTTGGCTGAGTGTCTTGTCTTGTGGTTCTGTGTGTCGCTCCTGTGTGACCCGTCATCGCCCGTCTAGCGTCCACCCATACCGCGTTGCACCCACCCACCCACCCACCCAGCCACCCAGCCACCCAGCCACCCAATCACCCAACCACCTGTGGGACAGGCCCAGCAGCAACGCGCCCTTCTCGCCCATGAAATCGAAGAGTCGGAAGGCGGAGCCGAGAGCGACCCAGAGCACGAGGATCAGAACCTGGACTACCAACACGCTCGCAAGGCGCGTGCTCCCAAAGATTGCGTCAAGACGGAACTCGCCGACTCCGATCGTAGTCACCCACTGAAATGAAAAGTAGAGATTTTCGCCAAGCGAGTTTCTCTTGAAGTCGTCGCCGGGGTCCTTGTCATTATCTACAGCGTTGTCGATGAGGTAAAATGTCAAAATGTCAACGGCACGTGGATGGTCAGAATGAGCAGCAGAATGAGCAGCAGGTACTTGCACGTGAAGTGCACCTGGTCTCGCCACTTGCTAAACGAGGCCTCGCACAGCCTTGCGCGTTCCCACATTGAGCCGACCGGCGTGAAGCACGACCACACGCGGAGATGATTAAACAAGGCAAGGTAAAGCACCCGGGCCATGACCATGCCGCCCATGACGCCAATTACGAGGGCGGGCGCCCCCCACAGGACGAGCGCAAGTTTGCCACCTGAAGTGGCGGGCTCGAAGTACCATAGTCCATTGAACGCGGTGATGGTCAAGCAGAAGAGGTAAGAGTTGTAGAAGTCCCAGGTGTTCGGCGTCCAACCGCCGCCCAGGTCTTCAAAGTCCTGAAACCATTCCCTAAGATCATCCACGACAGTCGTTGTTGAGGCCATAACGTGCGACAATGGCCTCAAACCTCCCCTGCTTAATCGCTCGTCTTTGCAGCTGCAATTCGGCGTGCGGCTGTTCGCAGGCGGCAAACGTGGCGGCACCGAGAAGACACCACCCTTGGATGAGGCACCAAACAATCAGAAGGCTCGGAGGTGCGTGATGCACCCCAACGCAGCCTGTTCATCCTCTCTCCCTTCCTGTCCAGCGGCCTCGGCGTTCGCCTGCAGGCTGCGCACTGCAATCTTCCAGCGCGCCGCCGCCTGCCGTTCCCTTGTTCTCTCGGCTTCTTTCGCCTTTCGGCGCAGCTCCGCCCTCCTTGCTGCATATCCTGGCCCCTCGAGTCTATCGAGCTCTCCTCGCGCAAGGACAAAGGGAAACAGAAGCCGCGCGCCGCGCGGTTTTCTTGCTCAGTGCGCGCCAGTCCCGTGCCCAGTGTAGAAAGAAAGAAAGAAAGAAAACACGCAACCCAAGGGAGGGATGGGAGGACGGCACGCCGCCACCACACAGGGATTTTAATAAATAAATAAATAAATACAACGGACATCCCAAGCTAGGGCTGGGTCGAGGACAGACACGTCCCCACCTTTGCAGGATTTTGCAAAAGCGAGGGGGGAGGGCGCATCGCCGCGCGGAGAGGGCTGGGATTTTAAAAAGAAAGAAAGAAAGAAAACACACAACCCAAGGGAGGGATGGGAGAACGGCACGCCGCCACCACACAGGGATTTTAAGGAGAGGAGGTGTGATGCGCTAGCCGTCGCCCACCCTGGGGGGTCTGCCTCCTCGTATCTCTTTTCGCAGTCTCTCGCCGCTTCTCGCTGCAACCTTCATGCCACCTCGCGGCTGTCCCACTCTCGTCGTTCTCTCCCTTGTCATGGGATTTTAAATGTGCGACGGAGTTGGGTTGTAAAATTCTTGCTCTCTCGCTGCTCACACTTGCTGACTCACGACGCGCCGCACGGATGACATCCTGGCGAGAACTCGGCGTCGAGGTGCTGTTCACATTCAGCATGCCGCTGTTCTACGCTTTCCTCACGACGATGATGTACGGTGAGAGCTCGCCGACACATGCTAGCGCTTTGCCCGCCTGCGCTGCCGCCTATCGATCTCTGCTCCGCTAGAGCTCGCCGACACTTGCTAGCGCTTTGCCCGCCTGCGCTGCCGCCTATCGATCTCTGCTCCGCTGCCGTCTGCGGTGATCTAGCCACTCGGAAGGAGGAGACCTTCCGTCTCACGCCCTACGCCAACCTCGTAGGCGAACTCAAGGGAACGAAAGAAGATCCCAAATCGTACTGGGCTGAGCCAGGCTCAAAGCCGGTCTGGTGACGCGCTGGAAGTCGGTCTCGCGTTTCGATGGCGGCGGAACCGACCTTTCGCTGTCCGTACGTCTGTCCTCTCAACCTCAAAGTCAGACCGCCGCCGGCGCTGCCAGTTTTGGGTTGTAAACGCGCGTTTAAGACGAGAGCGGGCGCGTACAGAGAGAGTCAGTCCCCACAAAGCGCGGCACATGGCGCGAAACCTCTGTCTCCCTCTCCGCACCCAGCCGGGTGTTCGGTGTCGGGGTGGACACACGACAAAGTGCCGCTGCCGGGCCGCCGGAGAGCCGGGGAGTCGCGGCGCTCTCGCGCACCCCCCCGCCCGCGCGCGCGCGCGCCGCGCGCGCGCTCGCTCGTGACACGTGACTTGAGTCGACTCGCGCGCTCTAAAGTGCCCCCGCGCAACGTCTCGAGTCAGCGCCGGTAGTACTGCGCCGGCGCTCGTGGGATCACGTCTAGAGGCACATCGCATCCAACCGCGCCAGATCCCTAACCCTCTCAGCAATTTCCCCGCGTAGCTGAGCCAAGAGACTCTTGTCCCCTCTGCCCAGCGCAGCCATCTCGTCGAGAAAGTGCTGCCGTTCTGCAATCTCGTCCGCGATTTGGGCACGTAGCCCCGCTGCTTGCTGCTCCTCCGACGCGACGCCCGCCGGCCTCGCCCTGGCTGCGCGGGCCGCTGCCACCGCCGCCTCCTCGGCGACCTATATTCGATTTCGATGCGACTCAATGGGTGGCGCCGCTCGCGGCACATCCGATAACTTCTCCTCGGCAGCCTCGCTCTCGGACTTCCCCGCCCGCGCATTTTGCGCTGCGAGGGCAGCTTTCTTCTCGTCCGACGACTGGGTCGGCAGCCCAGGCGGCGCCCTCTCTCGCTCGTAACTGCCGCTGGCCGGGCGACGCGCTCGGTGCGGGACGCGTGTGATGGGCGCCGGGGGCGTTGGCCGCACGAGCCCGACACGAGGAACGGAGACGCCTCTTTCCGAGGTGCGGGCTGGCACGGAGTGCGTGCGGCGTCTCTCTGCGTCCAGATCTCGCGGCTGAGGCCGCACCACCCCCGCCGCCTCCTCTGCCCGCAGTCTGGCCCCAATCTTGGCTCGGTTGGCGTTGGAGTAGGCCACACCTGCGGTCACTCGGGGCGAGGGCCCGGTCAGGCCCGCACGACCCTGAGGAGTGCAAGAGGAGTGGCTACTCCAGGTGAGCAGCGCAGCGCGGGGATTGGCACAGGAGTGGAGCGGCCGAGTGTGGCCCGCCGAGCCGCTGGACGGTGGCGTGGCCGCCGGTGACGTTCTGGAGGGAGCGAAACATCCGTGCCTCGTCGGCGTCGGTGAAAGAGCGCCGACGCGCGGCCGCCTCCGCCATGTGTGTCCCGGGGGTGTTTTATCGGCCTGTGGCCGTAACAGAACGTAACGCACCATCGAAATTCCCGCATATCCCTGATTTGCCAGCCCACCAAGATACCTTTTCGAAATACCCGCAAGCTCGGGAGAAGAGCTGCGCGGTTCATAATATTTATATTATACCAAAAGGAGAGCTACACGACGCCCTCTACGCTGGGGTGCCGGCGCCCTACTGGGCGCCCCTTGGTGCCGGCGCCCTACTGGGCGCCCCTTGGCCTTTCCGAGGGTTTCCTCTCGCACCCTACCTGGTTTCCTTTCCGTGTTTCCTGCTCGTTTCCCTACAACACCCTCTAGTTTCCTCGGGAAACCCCGGGGAAACTCCGTGGAATTCGTCATTTTGGGGGCGCTCTGAGCCGTGTCTGAGGCTGTTTTCGGGCCAAAATCGGCAAAATACCGGGTATTTTGCGGGTATACCTGGAAAACCCCGGTATACCTGGAAAATACCTGGGTATCGTGCCGATTCCCTCAATTTTGCCCCAGATTTTGCCCCAGACCAGCTCTCAGACTCAGGGAAGTGTGTGTCTCGCGCCTTGCGGGGGGGGAGCGGAAAGGAGGAACCTCTTCCCAAGAGCACGGGAAACTCGGTCGCGAGTTTCCCGAGGGAAACTCGAGAGGAACAGAATGGAGCACCAAACACCCTCTGGTTTCCCTGGAAACTTCCGGAAACGCAAAGTGCTGGGGACCCTCTGGTTTCCCTCTGGGTTGCCGGAAACCCTCGAAAAGGCCAAGGCGCCCCCCGCTCCCTTCCCCTCAGAGCCCCCCATCCCCACTAGCATTCCCCCGCGGTCCCTCGCGGCCGCGTGACGCCGCACCAATGGCGCGCTGTGCCTCGTCCGCGAGCGCCACCCAGAGCTGCACCGAAGGCCAGCGCAGGAAACGCGGTGATAGGAACGACGATGCGGCGAGCGCCGGAGGGAAGCGACGACAGCGAGGGGACGAGGACGGCGAGCAGAGAGGAGAACAGACGGCGAGCGGCGCACGCGAGGGCGACCACGCAGGAGAAAACAGACGGGACGAGGGGAAGGAAACGCGGCCCGCCAGGAAGCGAAGGCAGACGGCAAGATACGTCGCCGGACCAGCGACAGGAAGCGCAGGAAAACAAAGAGAACAAGACCATGAGCATGGAGACGAGGGAAGGCGCGAGGCGCTCCGCCGACAAGCAGCAGAGGCGGCGGCGAAAGTAACGACGGCCATGCTAACGACGGGCGGCACGGTGGAAGGGGCGAAGGTAGGCCCCTCTAGCATAGCGGAAGGGGAACTCGGCCTACTGGCGACGAGGAGGCTAGAGAAATTTGAGGTGTGTAGCATCTACACTGGGGAGATCTTCCGGACAGGAACGGCGCAGCCACCAGAGACAGTACCAGACGAACTATCACGACACACGGCAGCAGGGGGGACGCAGCTGGATGGAAGTGACGACGAGAGCGGGGACGACTTTGACAGCGTCGCGGCGCGGTGTAACTTCGACTGGCCTGCAGCATCGAATGAGCCGAAACGAGGCACGAGGGCGACGCACTTCGTACGCTACGAGGAGATACAATTAGGCAAGGCAGCTGCGCAGGTGATGGTCCTGTTTGCAGAAAGGGGAGTCAAGGAAGGCCAAGAAATCACATGGTCATATGGGGACTCATACAGGAGCCACCGCAAGAAGATGGGATACAGGGCGGGGACCAGGGCGGATCCGAACGCAATAACACCCCAGCAAGCGCGGACGGCATTCGCGAGATACTGCAAAAAGATAGACGTGACGAAGGAGGAGCTAGCGTGGAACTTTGGATGCATATCGGCAAGCCAAAATAACGAGCAGGAGGCTGTCCTGGTGCGTGAGCTAATCCTGAGCAATAATAAGAGACTGTACCACGGAGCACAGAGCGCAGCAGACAGGACGGCGGCGACGGCGGACATGGCAGAGACGAGTGTGAAACAAAGGGCGGCGGGCATGGAGGGCGGTAGCGACGGGGACGGAGACGGTGACGGTGGCGAGGGAGAGGAAGGGGGTCCATTAACACCAGACAGCGAGAGGGGCAGGGAGGAAAGGGGGAGAGAGGAAGCCAACGCGACGTGCGCAGAGGATGAGGATATAAACTGGGACGACGCAGCGGAGGGGATAGGCGAGGGAATCGAGGGACCGGAGGGCTTTCGCGACAGCGACGATGACGACGAAGAAAGGGGAGGGGACGGAGGGGCGACACGCAGGAGGAGCGAAATCGCTAACGGCCCGAGCAGAGAGGGCGACGGCGGGGCACGAGGGAACAACGGAGACGCTACCGATGAAGCGAACCGAGGCACGGACGCCGGCGGGGACGGGGAGGGCGACAGCGACGTCGAGGTTGACGCAACCGTATCGAGAGCGCCACCCAAAAAGGGGCGGACAGCCATGGAGGTCACCGAATGGAGGGCGAACGGCACGATGCGAAAAGGCAGGGCGAGGCGGATGGAGAAAGAAGTGCCGAGAAGGCCATGGTGGAGGGGAGGGACGGGAGGACGAAAGAAGGGCGAGGAGGACGAGCGGCCCGCACAGACCGCGAGCAGACAGCGCCTGCTGGCCATTTCGAGACATTCGCCAAGAACGCTAGCTACATGGGAGGGCTTCATGAAGGATGGATTGAAAAACATTCGAACAAAGAAGAGGCGACGGGAGGAACCGGCGGAGGATGCAGTGACGTGAGACACACACACACACACACACACACACACACACACACACACACACACACACACACACACACACACACACACACACACACACACACACACACACACACACACACACACACACACACACACACACACACACACACACACACACACACACACCGCTCACCCACGCGCACTGGGCCTTGCACTTTGAATGCCGTGGGGCTCCTGTCGTCAGACGTGGAGACGCGAGGGTTGCCCCCCCTTGCCCCACCACCTCGTGTGTGTGGAGAAGTTTACCTTACCTTACCTTACCTACCTGCACCGACAGTCGCTGCAGCGCAAACGGCATCCATTCGCGCGCCGACCACGACGTCTGGTCGTACTGCCACCATGTGAGCTTCCGGCCCGCCACCTCAGCCACCCGCCTCAGCAGCTCCTCCACCCCCGCGCTCATTGCGCCGAACTCCTCGAAGAGCAGCGCCTCCACACGGCACTTCCCCTCTGCGTCCGTGTACTGGCCCTTGACGGCCTCGACCGTCCCGGACCCCGTCCGCGGGTCCCACCTCCCCACCCTCCCACCCCTGTCCCCGCCCTCCACGCCCAAACCCGTCTCGCGGGCGCGTGGCAGCGTGTTGCCGCAAGCGACGAACGCCCCCATGCGCCCCACCCCGACGCCCCACATAATACTTAGCTTTCCGCAATGCGTCGGCGACAGCGTGGCGTCGTGACGGCTGCCGTGGTCGGGACTTCCTTTGTCATCGCACAGCGAACCGCGAGCAGCCTGGCCGCACCTCCCATCACCGGCACGGGCAAGCGGGCGCTGCCGCCGCCTGTGGTGCGTGACAGACACACTGGCAAACGAGCCGAGCTGTCGCTCATCCAAGTCCAAGTCGCATTCCGCCACGGCGCACGGACCCCGATGGAGGACGCGGCCGCCATGTCGGACGACGTCCGCTGGCTACCGTCCGACACCGACAAGGCTGAACTGCTCTCGGGCTGCCGCAGGATTCACTTGTTCCCGCCTGGATGCGGCGACGGCCTCGAGCCTGCGGACGTGTTTCAGGCGGGTTCGGGCTCCGCCGTGCCGCTGCACGGCGGCGGCGCGCCTGGCCAGCTCACGCGCACGGGCCTCAAGCAGGCGGTTGCTGGCAGACCAAATAACCTCCAGCCCCCTCAGTCTCTAGGTCTCCCTTCTCATGGACCACTTCTATACACATTCAAAGTGGCGCTCTCTATCATGCAGGCGGTTGCGCTTGGGGCCGACCTGCGTGCTCGGTACGTCGACGCGGACGCCGATTCTGCGAGCGCCGTCCGCGGCTTGAGGCCCTAGAAGCGGCTTGCCTTCCAACCAGCGCTCAAAATGACACGTACACATTCGGCTGCATGCCGCTGCATTCGCTGTATTCGCACCCCTCGTATTCACGCGGCGCTCCTGGATGCACTGCACGATGCCGTCTTCCCGCCCCGACGTCGGTCCATTCAGCACGTAGGCTCGAGGCTGCTTCCGTCCGAGTGGAGCGCCGCCCGGCGGCTCGTTGTGGCCCGGTGGCCGAGCCGAGCGGACCGGCGGCGTTTTTTTTCCTTTTTGACCCCGAGCGGCGATTTTTTCTTGTTTTTAGGTCGACTCTCGTCGAGCGGACCGTGTACACGGCGCAAGGCGTCCTCAGCGGCCTCTACCCCGACTCCGCTGCCGACGAGTGCGCCGAGGTCGAGCTCAACGGTGCCACTACCGCCACCACCATATAAGCAGCAGCTGTTGCATGGTGGTAGTATCAGGAGGAAGACGGGGATCTGTCGTCTGTATTCTCTTTACTTCCTCCCATCATCGCTACAATCGCGCCACTCTGAAGCACTCTGATCGGCCTGACCCTCACCACGACCCGAGAGCAGCCACTGTGTCAAGCGGCGTGCTCTCTGCGGGCGAACTGTTCCGAGGGATGCATCTGAGTTGGCTATGGATGTTGGCGCTCCCCGTATCTCCCCGTATCTCCCCGTATCTCCCCGTATCTCCGTGTCACGCATCTGAGTTGGCTATACTGATGATAGGCGCTCCCCGTATCTCCCCGTATCTCCCCGTATCTCCGTGTCACGCATCTGAGTTGGCTATGGGGATGATAGGCGCTCCCCGTATCTCCCCGTATCTCCCCGTATCTCCGTGTCACGCATCTGAGTTGGCTATGGGGATGATAGGCGCTCCACACGACGAGTGGATTGGTTCCCTAGAAGCGGAATACCTCCCCGTATCTCCCCGCATCTCTCCCCGTATCTCCCCGTATCTCGCGCACTAGACGCGGAATACCTCCCCGTATCTCCCCGCATCTCCCCGCATCTCCCCGTATTACCCCGCATCTCTCCGCATCTCCCCATATCTCCCCGTATCTCGTGCCCTAGAAGCGGAACATCTCCCCGTATCGTATCTCCCCCCGTATCTCCCCGTACCTCGTGCCCTAGACGCGCAGCACGCACTCTTCTCTTCCAGCCAGCGACCGAGAGACGCGGCGTCGGCTGCATTCGGCCGCCTTCGGCCGTGTTCACTGCGAGTCATCGGGTGGGCGGCGCGGGCGGCATGTCTCGTGTGGGTCGTGGCGCTGGGGGAGGGGGGGGTGTTTTTCCTCCCCCCTCCTTTTCCCTTGCTCTCCGCTCTCCTCCCCGGTTTTTTTGTGCCCCCCGCGCTCGCCCCCCTTCGTCTTCCCTTCCTCTTTTCTGCCCCTGTCCTTTTCCTTCCGCTGTGCCCCTTTCCCCTTTTTTCTTCTGTCCCGCGCCCCTCCCTCTGCTTTTTTTGGCTCCCCTCCCCTTCCCCCCCTTTCCCGCCGTTTCCGTCCTTTTCC